TGAATCAGAAGAATTATGCAGTTGTGATCATGTGTTGCCATTAAACTAACATGGGATGTTACTTTGCAGCCAGAGTAAGAGGGAACCATGTTGGTACTCAAGTCCCTGAATACAAAAAGGACAAAAGCATCCATGCCCATGCCCCTCAAAACATTTTCTGATTTTATTTCTTTAAAAAGGCATGCATGTCAGAGGCACTAACTGCTTACTTAAAAGGAGCACACAGACAGGCAGAAGGTTGCCTTTTACATTTGTAAAACATTAAGCTATTTTGAGAAATGCTGGCTTCCCACCACCACCTTTTTGTTTTGTTTTGCTTTGCTTTTCTTTCTGGCTGTGCTACTTTCAACTGAACAGACACTGAGTTACAGCATTCTTGCTTCCCCTACCCCAGCATCCAAAAATGCAAAGCAGCTACAAAAATATTCCTCTATTTGCATCCACTTCATGATGTGCTGTGGTTTCTGTAAATCATGATGTGAACCATGCTGTCCTCCAGATGCTGTTGTGCTGTCATTCCCAGAGAAGAATACTGGGAGTTGCAGTCCAATGACATCTTGAGAGTTACCCAGTCCCAGCCTTGTAAATAATCTGGAAATAACAATTTGTATTAATCACCTCCAATGAGCAAAGTAACATTGAAAATATTATTCACTCAGTTCACTGCATTGTCAGATGCACAGAGGATACTAGCAAAGTACCTCCTACTTCAAATTTTGTCCTATATTTGGACAGATTACAAGAGTAAAGTTGGGATTGGTTTCAGTTGTTGTTGTATGCCTTCAGTACATTTCTGACTTTTGGCAAGCAAACCTATCACATTGTTTTCTGGGGCTGAGAGTGTGTGACTCACTCAAGGTTTCCATGGCCAAGTGAGGAATTAAACCCTGGTCTCCAATCATAGTCCAATGCTCAAACCACTACACCACACTATACCAGAAACATACTGGCCAATATGAAAGTGGAATGCTCCCAGCTTCCTTAAGGCATCACTGAACTGCTTCATTTTTCTTTAGTATAGAGAGCACCAGAATCATACAATGTTTTTGTAATATTTGATACTTACAACACAGCATATTTGTATAGCATAGGTGGAGATAGATGGCAGTGTATGCAGATAATACAGCTGGCATCCACTCACAGAAAACATCATGTCCAGCCCATCTGCCCCAAAAAATTGCACCCCAGTTTCCAGCTACAAATTTTTCTTTAAGTACAAATTGCAGAATGGCTGTTTTCGAACACATCCATACAGGCAGTGCATTGATCTCAGACCTCACCCCTGCAGGTGAAGTGCCAGTTCAGTAAACAATGAGCCAGCATTATGAAGCATTCATGTTCTTTTGTCAGCTCCCAGATCACCCATTCTCATTGAGGAAGCTGGCTAAATTCACAATAACATATATGTGGCTCAGCATGTAATTAGTTCAGCCAAGGGCATTTTTCCCAGTGCTTTACAGGACCAGTAGCGGAACTTCAACAGCATCTTTGCTGGACATTTTGAAGTTGACATAGGACTTTATCACATGGGGGCCAGTTTCATCTTTAAAAAGATAATAAAAAGCAAATAAACCATCCTGAAAATAAAGCGAAAATAGAGCTTGATCATGC